CATTTGGGTCCTTTCCCCAAGCCAATATACAAATTTCCCCACCCTTTTATCTAATTAACACTGGAAAACCCCTAATGCCTGTCCAAACCCCCCGAAGGCCGAAAAAAGCACCCCTTTCCGGCGGGGCCCCCCCGGAAAGATCAGTATAGGGAGGTCCCCCCCCCCCCCCTCTACAGCCCTCTATGAGGTCTAGACCTGATACACTGTCATTGCGCCTTGCTTAAGGTATCTTTATAACAAATTTGATACTTAAAGAGCTTGAACGTCTCGAACCCTGCACAAAATGAATCACCTAAGATAATTCAGCTCTCACTAAATAGAGGTACATTTTATTTGTTATTCAAAATGACTATAAATAATTATCGGAGGTTTCATATTTCCATTTTCAAGGTAGGCACTTGGGAAAATCGTAGTTAAAACAGAAAACAAAATTTCAAAGTTTATTACATCCATACTCTGCCAGCTCATAAACTTTTCAGTATTCTGAACAACGTGCTGAATACATGTAGAAGCTTGATATAAATAAAACTGATCATTGGTAGACGTGGTATTTAGGTAAAATATAAAAAAAGAGACGCTTGGCGAAGAGGCTTCGTGCCTTGAACTTAAGAATATACATAGTGCTACGACACGCCCTCACTGGAAGGAGAAATGCGATGTTACTTACATATTTACTCAGTCATGTTCAGCATAAAACCAATTCTTTCAGAAATAAATTTTGATTATTAAAAACTTACCATCCAGTTCTGGATGAGATGCATAGTTTTCCCATATCTCTTCCTGAAAGAGGGACAATTTTACGTGTATTAAAAAAATGTCTTAAGATAAATAAACAACGAAGTCACTGACACAAAACATTAACAATTCTAATTCTTATATCTACTGTGTAAGTGGCATTTTACAAGAAAAGGTGATGCAAGGAAACTTTCAAAGCTTAACATGCAAACTCTGATAAAGATCCAACATATCTATCATCTTGCCAGAGGTATAACGACGAAAACGCTTTTAAAATTAAAAGACATCATTTATTGATATAAGTAGTTAAAAGGCAAAAAAAGTGACGCACAGAGTACGTATCATGGCACGCTCTGTCCTCACCTAATGTATAGACATTAGACCATCACATTCGCCTTACAAGGACTAAAACACAATTCGAGTCGGACGCTTACTCTTTAGTAACAAAACATCAAACATATAAATTGATTGACTCCCGGGGGGAACCCCTGGGAATTCTTGGTGGGGGTGTGCGGCCCGGTTCTTCAAATCCTGACCCTATTTCAGACCAAAAAATGTCATTTTTCACACCCGTTTTCAGAGCTGGCCCCTAAAATCCATAACCGTTCTAAGACCTGGCCATGCCGTTAGATAATCTGATTGCTTAGAACAGAACAGCAACAGCAATTTCGGATTCGCATGGCTCTTTCCTTCTTACTCATTTGGAACTGAAACAAGAAATACGTTCATACACTCCCGTAGTTCCCTTAAAAACCATACCCGATTCCAGACCAAAATGATCAAAGTCTATCCCGTTTTCAGACCAAAACGGCGCAAAAACCCTTCCCTTTGGGGCGGCACATACTGACCTATATGGCTAATATAGGGGAGTATAATCACAAGTTAACTTTAAGTTGAACGAGAGAATAATAGAAAAAAAATACAGCACTGACATATGTGCATACCTGTTAAATTCCGAGATAATTGAGCCTTTTTCTTGCCTGAATTGTCAAGAGATGCTTAACCGAGTTCAGTTGTCTCCGGTAAACAGATTTACAGAGATACGACGGTCAAATATATATCGTGGCCGATAAGGAAAATGCAGACCACAAAACCCAAAAATGAAAACCAAACCCCAAAACAGAAACACAGATTCCAAAACGGAAGCACAAGATAAAAACCAGAATCACAAATATAAAACAGAATCATAAAATGTCAAAAACTCAAAGTTTCCCTTGATGCTCGTAATACAAAACAAACAATCAATACCTGGAAATAGAAATCCAAAACCCTAAAAAGAAGCATGCAAGCAAAATCGAAAACTCAAAACCCGAAACAGAAAGACAAAATCTTCTAAAAGGAAAAACAAAAACCATAACCAGGAACACAAAACAGAATTGGCTCCTGACCCAGAAACAGAAACAGAAACTGATGTAAAATAGTAGTTTCACATGATGTATGTTATCTAAGCACATGACATCATAGTCATCTCGCTGTAAATCAACCTCGTTTCCAAGGTATCTCTTGTCCCCATCCTCTTTTGCTTCAAGGGACGTGCAGCATTTTCATTCCCGGAGTAAACAGAAAATATTGGCAAAGCACATATTTCTCTGGCTCAGCAACTTATAGAACAACGAGAACAATGTATCAGGAATTTTAGAGAAGCACAGCGTTTTTCTTACGTGGTGATGGTGGTGGTGGTGGTGGTAGTGGTGGTGGTGGGGGGGGGGGAGGTATGGTTTTGGTTTATGGGGTATAGTTTGGATGGCTGCATTTTCCTAGTGTTTAATTTTTTCGTTTTGTCTTGGCAAATATGTTGTGCATGGGACTGTGAAATCACTGTGCTTCAAAATANCATTTACATTACAAGTAAAAAAAACACTATAGTTTTCACCCAATGTTGTTCAGTGACTACTCAGTAATACTGTTTATGAAATAAAATGAATAACTAACGGTTGCCTGTCCACTTGTTAGTACACGCCCCCACCTCCTCCGTCTCCAATAATCCCCCAACTCCCCTCCCCCAACAATGGCTGGACAAATTTAACGCTCCCCACCCTCCCCCAGGCTTATAAGAAAGATTACGGTGTATTAGCCTAGTTTCCAGTCGTGGGGAGAGTAAACCCTACCAAAGAAGTTTTTTAATAAGAAGATCCGCGAAGTTTCGTTTCTTTTTGTTCAAACAAAAGGGGAGCCATCTGCTATTGGGACTCTGCACTAACTCCAGTCCTTCTTTAACAAGAAACACCTTAAAATGGCATAATCTGAAAGTGCTATTTCTAGCCCAGCTTATTTCGTTTCAAAATGAAATTTTCCTGAACTAATATGAAAATGAAAAGAATGAGAAAATAAGCCATTTGCACGATGGCGTCACTTCACTACTACGACCAAAATACTTTTCGTCTTACCTTTCATATTTAAATTTGGTAATCCCAGCGTGGTTTAAAAAACAAAAGCTAAAATTTGCACAAGAAAGCAAAATCCTAAAGTATTCTCATCGTGCAAATGGCCTATTAACTTTGCTCGAGCGCAAGAAAAGGTGTCGGTTCTTGTGCCCTCGCCTCTATATCCCTGTTCAGACAATCAATCAGAATGCAATCACTGAATATTAAAAAAAATCATTTTATTATAAAACCAACAAACAACTAACAAATGAGCGCGTGAAAACCACCTCCGCCTCTTTCCAAATGACAAACGTGAAAAATGGCGGGAAAATTTGACCACGACGTCCATCTCTGTCGTTTGTGTAATCGTAGTGCTTCATAGCCAAGCCTCGAATTAGTGCATTTTTTTTTCACGGGGACGCGGGAACTGTGTGTTCAAGTGGTTGAGCCTCTGTATGGGTATTCCGTAAGAAATCGAAGTGCCGACGATCGGAAATGTGCTGCACTTTCAGAGTTTTTGTTTTGTTTATTTTCTCGTTTTCGTCGTCATTGTGGTTACGCCGAGCTCGCTAGTAGCGTTACCACACAAAACAATTTTTTGATATGCGACTATTTCGCCTGAAAAACCGACGACTTGATGCACAACGCGCGAGGAAATCGACATCTGCAGGTACCCATATAATGGCTCAGTGGTTCAGTCGTCGCAAGCAATTTAGAACTCCATCCAAGACGATAATAAAAAAGGAAAACCATGATTTGAGCTATCACGAGGGTAATAATTGTTGTTGCGGGTTGTGCGGTCAACTGGAATTCCTCTCACTGCCAATCAACTCCACAGTCAGATGAAAACCAGAAACGTAACAACCACAAGGGGACAAACTATAACTATTTTCAGGATCGTGAGAAAAGCTAGAAAAATAAGTCATCATATTCAAGCCACGATGAATCACTTCTTTGACTATATTATGGCGTACATTTGCGGACAAAAATAATTGAAAATAAAAGACAATTTGAAGTTCAAAAATTAGACTATCCATGTCGAAATCGCGTCATATGAATTTGAAATCGCAATGAATGCAGTCGAAATAGCATCATTCGAACTTGAAGTTACTTTGAACAAGTTGAAACTATAAAGGGAAAACTCGACATCGCGGATGTTCAAGTTCAAATCACCATTCCAACTAAAATGCAAATTACATGATTTGAACTTCAATTCACCTTCTCCACTCTAATAAGCCACTTAATAGTCAACAATGCAACCAAAACGTTCCACAAAATTCCAAATGAAACCTTTAATTTGAACTTAGTCATGTCACATATTCGAATTCGAAAAACCAAAAATTTCAATTCGAAAGGAAGCGGAAGTTCGAATTGTCTTTTATTTTCAATTATTTTTGTCCGCAAATGTACGCCATACTATATGGAATGCTTCGCAGCTAAGTTATTAGAGTTGAAAAAAACACCGTATTCTACCCAGTTGCTTTGCTAAAAAATTATCTGAATTATTAAGCAGTCGATTTATTATTCACAAAACCTTCTCGAGCTTAAAAACCCAAGCCCAATTGGATGGCAGCTTGTTCACAGGGATACCAGGCAAGGTAATTATCATACCACCTGTGCTGGTATCCGGCTTCCAAACAAACTTTCCTTCATAACCTAACATGGTGACTTGAGTGTTGTCAGTGGCCTTTGGAGATCCTAGAGTAAGCTCTTCTGTTTCAGGCCACTCGAGAAGAATGGCGTACACAACACCAGCTTTGGAAGTATACCTGGAGAGACAGAGAGATTAGATGAACCGAACTGGCTGAGAGAGAAGTGGCCTGCGTAGCACACGTTTACAGTTAAGTTATTGTGTGGAAGTTAAAGCGAGAGCAAAAGAAATACGCGCGGAAACGCTTGCTACGTAGACTAAGAGAGAAGTCAACTTTCCCTTCGATAGATACTGTTGGGAGTGGTGTTATGGCTGATTTTGTTCCCCCTCCCCACCCCTCTTAACGCACTTGTATCTGCGATTCAAGTCCACGATCAGATAAGAAACCTCCCTCTAGAATATGGTCCCCCTACTGATAGGTCACTGGGCCCTTAAAACAAGTTTTCTCTCTCTTTTTGTAATTCTTTTCTGGATGGAGCAGTTTAATAGCACCGAAAATAAAAGTATATCAGCTAACAAGTATTTCAACCTTAAAACGCTAAATTTCAGATTCAAAACACAACTAAAAATATTTCAGTTGAATAGAATTTACAAAAAATAACAAATAGTTCTTTTTACTGAGTAAGCTCAGGCCGAACGGGAAATATTTGGCGTGAGGTCTTGGCGCCATGACCTCAATGCAAATATATTTCTGTCTGCCCTTCCTACTCAATCAATACCTGTGAGTACAAAATATTTACTACATCACCCTCTTTCCTTCAGTCAAACTCAGAAAACTGTGGCCGGGAACCGTGAACACCTGAAAAATTCCTAGAATGTTGGTTGTGTAGTGACCAATCACAATAAATTTCGGGACACGTCAGCAAACCACACTGAAAACCACAAACTAATTGATGATGTTGCTGTTTGCAGTTCAGTTTCCTCACGACTTATTGGCTTTCTCCTTGTAACACAATAACAATCCATCTAAATATTTCTTGTGTTCACGGTTTTGTGAGTTTCATAGTACGTTTCAGAACAGTAAACCAAATGCTTAGTTCAGTAACCTACCAGACATTTTTGTTTATGGTGTCATTCTGAGCTCTCCAAGGTTTGCTGCTGTAAATAGCCTCACCATTTACAGAAAGCCATTCTCCCATCTGCAGAAGTCGCTCCTCAAACGCTGGTATGATACGACCATCTGCTGTTGGGCCAACATTCAATAACATGTTTCCACCACAGCTAAGGAAAAATAAAAGAAAAAATTTGGGAAAGCAAATAACTTAAAGGAGCCGTCCCACGATATTTATTAAATTCAAACAGAATTAACTGCCACTAAATTGACATACCAACTGCCGTGCATCTCCCAGTGCAGGTGGGTGCCTGGGAATGTCTGACATGTATGGCTGCTTCTACATTTGACGCAGCCAAACCCTAGATAAAGCTATGTCTCCACGAATGGTTAATTGACACCTCCCAGTCACTGGTCCCCATACCGAAAAACCACGCACTCGCTAAGCTTTACTAGTCAATGGTTAAATAAAGGGGAAGAGTTGACGATGCAGTCAACTCTTTGGGAACAACACTAAGTGTTCCTGTTTCAGAGATGTCTGTCTTTTGGAGAGTCAAATAAAGGCAGTAAACAAAGGCAGGGACCAACTCTAAGTGTCCATTTTACAGAGGTGTCCGTTGTACACACAGCAAAAGGTACCCCTGTGTCGACTGTACACACAAAAGGTACCCCTATGGCCATCATAAAATGCGGTACCAAGCACATGGAGCAATGAAGGATGACAATTCCCAGTCGCTCTCATGTTTGGTTGAAGTGTTTGACTCGCAAACAACGTTTTCGTTATTTTTTTCCAGCTAAATGGTGACCAGATGCTTTTCACTAGCTTAAACTGGCTTTTTTGGCAAAATCTTCTTGGGCAAATAAGTTTATTTATAATAGCAATTAATTATTACAGTGAGGTAGACAGGGCACGTAGTATGGACAATTTTCATGGAGCTGTGGGAGCATCTCTATAAAAAACGTGTTCAAACGTGTTATGGCCTAATTATCAAACCTCACCTGACAGTAGAAGCCAGTTGGTACAAGAGTTGATTGATGTCTAAGTAGGAGTTAATGTCGACATTGCGTCTGTAACCCCAGGAACCTTTATCCACTGTCAAAGCGTTCTCCCATTTGTGATTCTGAAGTTTACCTTTTAAAGGAAATTTGTTCAGTATTTAGCTGCAGAGTTGTCTTGGAAACTCTAATATAATGTTCCATGGATGATCTTGACAGGATAATTAGGCAAGCTCAAATAAAAGAGAACAGACTGACCTGCAACACTAACAAAAACTAACAACACTAACAAAAACATAGTATAAAAAAGTTATACTTTTACAGCCACACCCCACTTTATGGACATGCGCTTAATACGGACACCTCATTATTATGGACAGTTTGCTTTGTCCATGTGGAAAGAAAGCCCCTACACTTTCAACCTGCTTAATATCGACAGCCTGTTAATAAGGGCACTGCCTTTCCATGGCCCCCTTAGTGTCAATTTTAATGGATCTGACTGTACATGTACTTGACGACTGAACAAGTAACTAAGTTACATAATTATTAAAAATGCATTTACTTGAAGAAACCAATAATTGTGAGTGTTTACCTGGGTTATAGCGATCATGACATGTGTATACACCCCCATGATGACAAACACATCCATTGCTACACCATCGGTCATTTGTTGCGACTATTTTGCCTCAAAAACCGACGACTTGATAGAAAACGCGCGAGGAAATCGACATCTGCAGGTACTGATATAATGGCTCAGTGGTTCAGTCGTCGCAAGCAATTTAGAACTCCATCCAAGACGATAATAAAAAAGGAAAACCATGATTTGAGTTATCACGAGGCTAATTATTGTTGCGGGTTGTGCGGTCAACTGGAATTGCTCTCACTGCCAATCAACTCCACAATCTAATGAAAACCAGAAACGTAATAACCACCAGGGGACAAACTATACCTATTTTCAAGATCGTGAGAAAAGCTAGAAAAATAAGTCATCATATTCAAGCTACGATGAACCACTTCTTTCACTATATGGAATGCTTCGCAGCTAAGTTATCAGAGTTGAAAAAAAACCGTATTCTACCCAATGGCTTCCTAAAAAATTATCTGAATTATTAAGCAGTCGATTCATTATTCACAAAACCTTCTCGAGCTTAAAAACCCAAGCCCACTTGGATGGCAGCTTGTTCACAGGGATACCAGGCAAGGTAATTATCATACCACCTGTGCTGGTATCTGGCTTCCAAACAAACTTTCCTTCATAACCTAACATGGTGACTTGAGTGTTGTCAGTGGCCTTTGGAGATCCTAGAGTAAGCTCTTCTGTTTCGGGCCACTCGAGAAGAATGGCGTACACAACACCAGCTTTGGAAGTATACCTGGAGAGGCAGAGAGATTAGATGAACCGAACTGGCTGAGAGAGAAGTGGCCTGCGTAGCACACGTTTACAATCAAGTTATTGTGTGGAAGTTAAAGCGAGAGCAAAAGAAATACGCGCGAAAACACTTGCTACGCAGACTAAGAGAGAAGTCAACTTTCCCTTCGACAGATACTGTTGGGAGTGGTGTTATGGCTGATTTTGTTCCCCTTGCCCACCCCTCTTAACGCCCTTGTATCTGCGATTCAAGTCCACAATCAGATTTAAAGAAACCTCCCTCTAGAATGTGGTCCCCCTATTGAAACAAGTTTTTCTCTCTGTTTTTGAAGTTCTTTTCTGGATGGAGTAGTTTAATAGTACCGAAAAAAAAAGTTTACGAGCTAACAAATATTTTAACCTTAAAACGCTAAATTTCAGATTCAAAACACAACTAAAAATATTTCAGTTGTACAGAATTTACAAAAAAATAATAAATAGTTCTTCTTACTGAGTAAGCTCAGGCCGAACGGGAAATATTTGGCGTGAGGCCTTGGCGACATGACCTCACTGCAAATATATTTCTGTCTGCCCTTCCCACTCAATCAATACCTGTGAGTACAAAATATTTACTACATCACCCTCTCTCTTTCTGTCAAACTCAGAAAACTGTGCCCGGGAACCGTGAACACCTGAAAAATTCCAAGAATGTTGATTGTGTAGTGACCAATCACAATAAATTTCGGGACACGTCAGCAAACCACACTGAAAACCCCAACTAACTGATGATGTTGCTGTTTGCAGTTCAGTTTCCTCACGACTTATTGGCTTTCTCCTTGTAACACAATAACAATCCATCTAAATATTTCTTGTGTTCACGGTTTTGTGAGTTTCATAGTAAGTTTCAGAACAGTAAACAAAATGCTTAGTTCAGTAACCTACCAGACATTTTTGTTTACGGTGTCATTCTGAGCTCTCCAAGGTTTGCTGCTATAAATAGCCTCACCATTTACAGAAAGCCATTCTCCCATCTGCAGAAGTCGCTCCTCAAACGCTGGTATGATACGACCGTCTGCTGTTGGCCCAACATTCAATAACATGTTTCCACCACAGCTAAGGAAAATTAAAAGAAAAATTTAAGAAAGCGAATAACTTAAAGGAGCTGTGCCACGAAATTTATCAAATTCAAACAGAATGAACTGCCACTAAATTGAGTGAAACAAAAAAATTAACACTCAAATCTTTAGAAAAAAGTATAAATAACAAGGCAAATACAAAAGAAGGCTGGAGAAGATTGAAAAGGCCGGATTGCATTGTGAGTTTTGAAAACTTGTTCAGCCAAATGCATTTTCGCTGTTTGTAACGGTTGATATAGAAGGCATAGTATTTTGTTGTACAAGATGTGATTTCGTCATTTACAAGTAATGTCTTTGCGAGCATTAAGTTCCATAGTATACTGACAAGACTTATACTTAGCAATGAAAATGAGCTGGAGAGCCATGACCCAGTCCCTTGAAGTTACACATACCAACTGCCGTCATCTCCCAGGGAAGGTGGGTGCCTGGCCTGGGGATGTCTGACAAGTCTGGCTGCTTCTACTTTTGACACAGCCAAACCCTAGATAAAGCTATGTCTCCACGAATGGTAAATTGACACCTCCCAGCCACTGGCCCCCATACCGAAAAACCACGCACTCGCTATGCTTTACTAGTCAAAGGAAAAATAAAGGGGAAGCAGGATACAGTCAACTCTTTGGGAACAACACTGAGTGTTCCTGTTTCAGAGATGTCTGTCTTTTGGAGAGTCAAATAAAGGTAGTAAACAAAGGCAGGGACCAACTCTAAGTGTCCATTTTACAGAGTTGTCCGTGGTACACATAGCAAAAGGTACCCCTGTGTCGACTGTACACGCAAAAGGTACCCTTATGGCCATCATAAAATGCGGTACCAAGCACATGGAGCAAGGAGGGATGACAATTCCCGGTCGCACTCATGTTTGGTTGAAGTGTTTGAATCGCAAACAACGTTTTCATCATTTTTTTTCAGCTAAATGGTGACCAGACACTTTTCACTAGCTTAAACTGGCTTTCTTGGCAAAATCTTCTTGGGCAAATAGGTTTATTTATAATAGCAATTAATTATTACAGTGAGGTAAACACGGCACGTAGTATGGACCATTTTCATGGAGCTGTGGGAGCATCTCTTTAAAAAACGTGTTCAAACGTGTTATGGCCTAATTATGAAACCTCACCTGACAGTAGAAGCCAGTTGGTACAAGAGTTGATTGATGTCTAAGTAGGAGTTAATGTCGACATTGCGTCTGTAACCCCAGGAACCTTTATCCACTGTCAGAGCGTTCTCCCATTTGTGATTCTGAAGTTTACCTTTTAAAGGAAATTTGTTCAGTACTTAGCTGCAGAGTTGTCTTGGAAACTCTAATATAATGTTCCATGGATGATCTTGACAGGATAATTAGGCAAGCTCAAATAAAAGAGAACAGACTGACCTGCAACACTAACAAAAACTAACAATACTAACAAAAACATAGTATAAAAAAGTTATACTTTTACAGCCACACCCAACTTTATGGACATGCGCTTAATACGGACACCTCATTATTATGGACAGTTTGCTTTGTCCATGTGGAAAGAAAGCCCCTACACTTTCAACCTGCTTAATATCGACAGCCTCTTAATAAGGGCACTGCCTTTCCATGGCCCCCTTAGTGTCCATTTTAATGGATCTGACTGTACATGTACTTGACTACTGAACAAGTAACTAAGTTACATAATTATTAAAAATGTATTTACTTGAAGAAACCAATAATTGTGAGTGTTTACCTGGGTTATAGCGATCATGACATGTGTATACACCCCCATGATGACAAACACATCCATTGCTACACCATCGGTCATTTGTGACAACTGTGTCCTTAACAGGGCTGCAATTTTCACCATAAGAAGTTTCAGGAATCAACTATGACAAACACTATATATGACATTAAACACTTTCAAATTTTTCCTTCAGACCCTCCAGAATGCAAAGTAATGACTGGCTACTCTCAGCTAGACATGCAAGTCTCATATGCATAAACACTGGACTGTGGTTGCTGCACTGAACTATTGGTAGCTGCCCTCACCTATCATTGTATAGCCATGCCAGGAATTCTCTACTCATCCAGTATGTGTCAGGTCCATGAGAACCATCAGACCACAGGTACTCAGGTTTGTAAGTGCTGACCAGATCATACAGCTCTGGCAGACAAACTTGCTGATAAGAATAAACAAAGTGACAAGAGTAAGGCTGTGCTCTAGCAGCACCTGGTGGCCCACGTGGTGCTTAACTTTTGCTCCTGGGCAACTATTAGAAAATCTAAGTTTTTTCATTGAAATCATATGCTGGGCACCCTGGATTTCACAGGGTCAGAGCACAGGGATCCCTTCAATTTTTCTTAGTGTACAGTCTTGAAGTGACTTTAAAATGTTAACAAAATATTGTCATTCTCTGCAAGGCTGAGAAGTTAATCTTTTATGTTAAAAAAGAAACCAAAAATCAAGTTTTTCGTAACAGTTCAATCTGTATCAACAGAAAATCAAAAGAATAGGTGATGAGAATCAACAAAATGATCACTAAAAAAAATGCCTTCATATTTTATCAAATTAACAATTTCAACTAAATCTGTAAGGAAAATTATGGAGATCAGTCCAGAAAATTCTTACTTGGATATTAATAAGGCTTAATTTCGCTGTCAATGTGGAACAGTAAAGTGGAACAGTAATGGTGGAACAGTCAAGGTGTCCCAGTAACGTGGCACAGTAATGGTGGAACAGTCACGGTGCAACACTCAGGGTAGAACACTGAAGTGGAACAGTAATGGTGGAACAGTCAAGGTGGAACAGTGAAATGGAACAGTAACGGTGGAACAGTCAGGGTGCAACAGGGAAGTGGAAGAGTAACGTTGAAACAATCAGGGTGGAACAGTAAAGTGGAAAAGTGAAGGTGGAACAGTCAAGGTGGAACAGTGACGTGGCACAGTAATGGTGGAACAGTCACGGTGCAACACTCAGGGTGGAACACTGAAGTGGAACAGTAATGGTGGAACAGTCAAGGTGGAACAGTGAAGTGGAACAGTAACGGTGGAACAGTCAAGGTGCAACACTCAGGGTGGAACACTGAAGTGGAACAGTAATGGTGGAACAGTCAAGGTGAAACAGTGAAGTGGAACAGTAACGGTGGAAAAGTCAAGGTGAAACAGTGAAGTGGAACAGTAATGGTGGAACAGTCACGGTGCAACACTCAGTCCAACGGTGAACGGTGAACAGTGAAGTGG